AAGGGACTGTTCTTGTTCATCCCAATCTAGATATTTTCTCATTAAAGGGACTGTTCTTGTTCATCCCAATCTAGATATTTTCTAATTAAAGAGACTGTTCTTGTAATGTAAAGGTAACCTGCATTTAAGCAGGGGCATGTCAGATTCACAACAAAACACTTGTCACTTTAGAAAAAGAAACCATGATAGAATTTTTTTTAAAGATGAAAACATGGATATTTCATTTATTTTTTTCATCCAGAGAAAAACGGTAAGGGTGCCACTTTATTTCTATTTTTTGTAAATTAATCAATGATTAATAATTACAGTAACCTTTTACATTTTGTTCTTTAAAATTAAACCTTAGAATTTTCAAGCAATGGTTAAACATTCTTAGAGATTAATAACTTGCAGAGTTTATATTTACAAAACTTTACAATAGTTTCAAGTTTATGTGAACTCATTGTAAACATTTTCTATTCTAAATTCAACACGTCATGGTTTCATGCATATCTATAGTTTCAGCTTTCTTAAAGGGACTGTAAGGGAAGTTTTAAGTGACCCTACATACAAAGATGACAATTTCAAAATCACAACGGTACCCTTAAAAACTTTGTCTGATCAAGTATGAATTAGAAATAAAAGTTTATAATTTCGAAGACTTATTACTCTTAATCGTGGGTTCTCTACTAAAGTGACTTGTGCATTTCTACTGCAAGAAAACATATAGGAGTTTTTAAGAATTAAACACTTTTATATCTTAAAAAAGGATAATATCCTTAGCATTAATGATCAGAGAAGGTTTCAAGGTTCCCTGGACTAACCAGCGCCAGATGTTTTTTGTTCGTTCTATTTAAACTCAATCGCTTTGGTGTCTCCTCTCTAATACTTATCAGATAAACAACTCAGAAGGAGCCTCTTCTCTTATATTTACCGGATAACAGATTCAAAAGGTGCCTCCTCTCTAATATTTACCAGATAAACAACTCAGAAGGTGCCTCCTCTCTAATTCTTACCAGATAAACAACTCAGAAGGAGCCTCTTCTCTTATATTTACCGGATAACAGATTCAGAAGGTGCCTCCTTTCTAATATTTACCAGATAAACAATTCAGAAGGTGCCTCTTCTCTAATATTTACTGAATAAACAACTCAGAAGATGCCTCCTCTCTAATATTTACCAGATAAACAACTCAGAAGGTGCCTCCTCTCTAATATTTACCAGATAAACAACTCAGAAGGTGCCTCCTCTCTAATATTTACCAGATAAACAACTCAGAAGGTGCCTCCTCTCCAATATTTACTGGATAAACGATTCAGAAGGTGCCTCTTCTCTAATATTTACCGGATAAACGATTGGTGTTATGTAAGGGAAGACCTCCTCTGTATAGGTGGAAAATAAGGCTTGCCCATCCCTGTAAAAAAACAGAATAAATACCATAATAATAATGATAATAAATTTTACAGAAATAGGGGGCCGAGCGCTGCGGATTGAACATGCTTGGGGCCGAGCGCTGCGGCTAGGACAGACTTGGAAAGTTGCCACATGGGAAATTGCACATTTGGGAAGTTGCCACTTAGGAAAATACCCTTAAAGAGAACATATGGATATAAGTATAGTACAAAAAAGTGTTTTTTTTTCAGATAACTTTTTAAACAGAGAATATATTAATAACATACCCATTTAGCCCAGAGTAGTGATAGATAGGAGTGATTCCAAACATGAGTATCGAGGTAGTGATCAGGATTAGATCAAAGCTTGATAATCCGATCAGAATACAGTTGATTGAACTTTTCATCTGAGGTCTAGAAATTAATGCAATAAATTAATCAAATCAAGCTGGAGAGATCATTTATTATGCACTTGATTAATCTTTTTGTCAGAGGTCTAGAATTAATGAAATCAAATCAATTAAATCAAAGCTAGAGAGATCAATCAAGGTACCATTGATCGGGTGCATCCTCAGAGGTCTAAAATTGATGAAATCAAATCAATTAACTTAAAGCTAGGGAGATCAATCAAGGTACCATTGATCAGGCGCTTCATCAGAGGTCTAGAAATCAATGAATTAAGAAGAGTAGCTCAAAGCTAAAGAAAGGAATCAAGATAGTAGATACAATCAATCTTAATTTTAGACGTCAATTAAATCAAATCTAATAAATATATCTAAAGATCAATCAAGAAATGATTGAACAAAAAAATCACAAAATTAAGAATCAATTAATTAATCAATTAATCAACCAAACAAGGAATCAATTTATCAATCAACTTCTTAACAAAAACAAAAATCACTTAATAAATGTTTTAGACTTCAAATTAAAATGGATAAATATTCAGATTTAAGAGTTTTTCATGGACTTCTAGAATCTAACAATTACCAATGAACTTTTTTGAATTTCGACCAGCCTTTCCTGGAGTAAAGTGAGATACTGTCAAATATTTGGTCCTGATCGGCTAGGCTAATGTAGAGGACTAATAAAGAAAATTAATAGAAAATTATTCTTGATTCTTATTTCTAGTTTTTGCATATTTTCACAACTTATGGTTTCTTTGAAGCACAGACATGCAAAAATAGCAAATTGCATAGAGGACCATCAGTCACTATCATTACTAGCTTATTATACTATATTTTACTTTACAGTACTGTAATGTACTGTACTGTCCTGTACTGTACCGTACTGTACTCTACTCTACTGTACTCTACTGTACTGTACTGTCCTGTACTGTCCTGTCCTGTCCTGTACTGTACTGTCCTGTACTGTACTGTACTGTACTGTACTGTACTGTACTGTACTGTACTGTACAGTACTGTACTGTACTGTGCTGTACTGTATTGTAATGTACTGTAATATTGTATTGAACTGTAATATTATGTACTGTACTGTATCGTAGATTTTTTTTATAGATTTTGATTTAAAAAATTTCAAATAAAAACTGAAGTTAAAAGTAATGTTTTAAAAAGATATTTTTTAACGAAAATATTGGTCTCTACAAATCATGAAACCGGCTGATCCTGGGTTTAGGACGATACCCTGTCCTAGGATGGGAGTTCTGTGTTATTCTTTGGAGAATATTGATGGATAAAAAGTCGGAGGTTTAAATTAATGAATCTAAGTTAAGTATACTTTCATCATCCCCGCACTTCATTATCTACTATATCTTATATCCACAGATAGAATATACAGAGATAAAATTTACAACAATTTTGGGGGGATAAGTTGGCCCTGAAACACTTGGCTTTGAACATGGATGTGTTGCAACTCTATAATTTTACTCCAAGGTCAATGTATATACATACATCGATTACTTAGTGTTATCTTTAATCCTGCGAGAAAAATAATTTCAAATCCATTTCCATAAACCATGATTGTAAAATGTAGTAAAAATTTTATTTGGTTTTAGAACTGCAAAAAGTAATGTAAAAAATTAAACCAAATTTATTTCAATTTTGGCTAAAATCAGGCATGTGTGAATCCATGTTTTCCTTATGTAATCCAAAACATGTTAAACAAAAATTTAATCTTTACAGTCAAAAAGTTGTACGTTGATTGTTTGGAAAATATAAAGTGGAAAGGTAAAAATACTATTGAGATAGGGGGGCGTCTAACCCCCCCCCCCTCCCCACTATTCATGAATTATCCTGTTGATTGTTTGTAAAATATAAAGTGGAAAGGTAAAAATACTATTGAGATAGGGGGGCGTCTAACCCCCCCCCCCTCCCCACTATTCATGAATTATCCTGTTTTCTGCATATTTCCCATCTATAAGAAATCTAGGGTAACAGGGAATTAACCATGTTTTGATAAACTCAGAACTTAGTTTTAATCTGTTCAATTCATGCATGCAGTATATGCATAAATAGGTTTCCAGGCCACATCTCACATAGATCCAGACTCATAGGAAAAATTGCATCATTCTCAAGACTGGGTTAACTTAGAATTGTCGGAACGTCTTTGACTTTTATTTTCTCGCACTAACTCAATAAACTTTTTTTGTAGTCTGTAGAACGTTAAACACTTGTTTTTCATCTTTTCTATATATAGTTAAGAAGTGGCAAGATTTCCCTCAAATTTTACGTGAGAGCTTGCAACTTTTGAATCAGTGTACTTTCTGTTTATAGTGCACACTTAAAACTAACTCTAAACTATGTTTTTGGTGCGTGCTGTAGTACTCCACAGTATTCTGACCAATAGAAAAGTGGGGTTTAGCCAGGATGCTGGTAGTTAACTACCTGCCCTGCTCTAATCAGCATAAGCGTACTGTAGTACTCTACAGTATTCTGACCAATAGAAAAGTGGGGTTCAGCCAGGGGGTTGGTAGTTAACTACCTGCCCTGCTCTAATCAGCTTAAGCGTACTGTAGTGCTCTACAGTATTCTGACCAATAGAAAAGTGGGGTTCAGCTAGGGGGTTGGTAGTTAACTACCTGCTTTGCTCTAATCAGCTTGAGCGTACACTTAAGACATTTTACTGATAATGAATGGAAGGAGATTTTGGTCTAATTATTCAGTAAAGGATTAGTGTACAACATCATCAAATAAACTATAACCTCGTTGGGTTTAGCCAAGAATGTAAGGCAAGGAAAGTCAATTGCGGTTGTGTATACTCTGTGTACATATTGAAACCAGTTCTCTTAAGACCTAAAAATGGGAAATGTTGTTAAAAAAAGTTAGACCTACACTGAAGAAGGAGAGGGGATACAAAATGAAGTGATTATTCAAAATTCGGAACGTTTGAATTGAAGGGACGGTAAGCGTAATTTTAATTGACCCTCCTAAAAACCTTTATCTGATCAATAATACGAAATATATATTTTTTTATAGGATTAAATGCATTATTTCTGATACTTCCTATTGTAGCCTGCATGCAGTACCAGTGCGTAAGTCACATTTGTGGAGAACACGCAATTAAAAATAATCAGTTTTTGAATTCAAAGATTGATATCTACTTCATGCTTGATCAGTCAAATCTTTAAAGGGTACCGTTGTAAATCAGGCATGAAGAGGTGATAAAAAAGGGATACTGGTGATGTGATGGTTGGGTGCCTTTCACAGGAAACTGTAAAGAGAGAGGGAGAGAGAGATGTTATGGATAAATATATATCATATATGGATAAATACAAATCTATAAATAAATATATATCATATATATGGATAAATACAAATCTATAAATAAATATATATCATATATATGGATAAATATAAATCTATAAATAAATATATATCATATAGGTGAATGAATGAGTGAATAGGTGAATAGATGAATGAATAAAGGATGAAAGGATGAATAAATGAATGAATACCTAATAACCCAACAATATTTAGCAGAACCCCCGGAATCCAGAAATCGAAGATTGGATCAAAAATGGCTTCTGCATTCTAAAAATAGAATTAATATACATATAACTATATAAACATAAACATAGACATAGATTAAATATATGAAGACATAAACATTGACATAGATGAAATATAAAAAGACATAAAACAAAGATAATACAATTGCCATAACAATAAACATATAAATAAATATATATGTAATAAATGTAGTTCTTGAAACTAAAATTTATTATTTAGATTTTTATGATTTTGTTTGCATGCAACACAGAAGAAATCTTCTAATTAAAGGAATTTTAAAGCTATAAATAAATTTTGCTTGTCTGTACATCTAGTTGTTTGTTTTTATCCAATAAACATCTAAACGGCTGGACCGATCAGGCCAATTTGCTTATAGAAACCCACATGACCCCAGGAAAAGTTTTGAAAAGTTTTGGTCGGAAAAATGCACCAATTTCAATATTGAAATACGCAAAAATTTGTTTTTATTTTTGAGAACAAAGAAAAAATTGTGACTGTAAAAACAACAATTAGCTAAAAGTTTAATTAGTTATTTAAAATTGCGTTTTGGAATTAAGGTAAATGGCTCAGTGCTCAAGTAGAACTGAATTCTTAATCAGTCCAACCAAAAGTCCCCCCCCCCTCTCTTTGTAGTCTTCAAACCATCTATTTCCTTTCATCTGTTTTATTTAACTACTTTTCCTCCTGTAGGAATAGAATTTTACAAAAATATTATTTTGAAATTTTCCTGGTTTTAATGTTTATTACGGTATTATACTGCAACTCAAAGAATCTCTAATTTATATATAATATGACCTTTACAATATCAAAGACAAGATATTCAAAACTAATTTTTGAAATCTTGGTTTTTGAAAATCAAAACTGACATTAAAAGACGAAGGACAGGAAACAAAAAATTGTTTAAAAAGTTTATCTTTATTTTGATATTTATTCTATTTCATCATTTTCTATGATTTTTTCTAATTTCTAATCAAATCAGAATTAAATCATTCAATAACTGGACGACGACTCACTAAATGCGGGAATTATAAAATGGCGGAGCAGAAAATGACGGAGAAGAAAATGGTGGATTACAATTACTTGAATAAAGATTTCCCAATTAGTGTTGATTGAGGGAGAACAGTTTTTCACTCTAATTTATACAATTTGGTTTCTTCTTTCTTTTTACTCTAATCTAAATCAATCTAATTCTAATGCTTTTATTCTAATCCAAATCAATCTAATTCTAATATTTTTATTCTAATCCAAATCCATCTAATTCTAATATTTTTAGTCTAATCCAAATCAATCTAATTCTAATATTTTTATTCTAATCTAAATAAATCTAATTTTAATGCTTTTAGTCTAATCTAAATCATTCTAATTCTAATATTTTTATTCTAATCTAAATCAATCTAATTATAATAATTTTACTCTAATCTATATTTATCTAATTCTAATGCTTTTATTCTAATCTAAATCAATCTAATTCAAATGCTTTTATTCTAATCTAAATAAATCTAATTCTAATATTTTAATTCTAATCTAAATCTAACTAATTCTAATGTTTTTACTCTAATCTAAATGAATCTAATTCTAATGCTTTTAGTCTAGTCTAAATCAATATAATCCTAATATTTTTATTCTAATCTAAATCGATCTAATTTTAATATTTTTACTCTAATCTAAATGAATCTTATTCTAATGCTTTTAGTCTGATCTAAATCAATCTAATTCTAATATTTTTATTCTAATCTAAATCAATCTAATTCTAATGATTTTTATTCTAATCTAAATCAATCTAATTCTAATATTCTTATTCAAATCTAATTCTAATGTTTTTATCCTAATCTAAATCTAAGAATGCACAATATGGAAAATTTTTGATTTTGGAAATTGATTGATTTCAATAATGGTTTATCTGTTAAAAAGAAACAATTGGGGACATTTTATAGAAGTTCCAGTTTTCAAACCAGAATAAATGACAATATGTTACATTAGATCTGAAAACTTTAAAATAACGGATATCAAGATCAATAAAGTTTTAAGCTCAGATTAAGTTTTAAAGTGCATTGTCGTAATCTAGGTGTCTCTTTAAAAAAGATTACAATGACAATCCAATTTGTCTGATGAAAAGAGGAATTTGTGAATTTTGGCGAAATATATTTTTAAGTAAAATTTTAAGTATTAAAGGGAATATAATTTAAGAGTCATCTGTCATCTTGTTTTTCCAGAGCTAAAAATGTACTTGTACTTATAGTTGAATCCTTTTATATTCCTAAACTCCCTATAGAGTACATTGTACTATAATTGAACTATTCCTCCCTAGAGTGTACTATACTATAACTGAACTATTCCTCCCTAGAGTGTACTGAACTATAACTCAACTATTCCTCCCTAGAATGTACTATACTATACCTTAACTATTCCTCCCTAGAGTGTACTGTACTATACCTGAACTATTCCTCCCTAGAGTATACTGTACTATACCTGAACTATTCCTCCCTAAAATGTACTGTACTATACCTCAACTATTCCTCCCTAGAATGTACTGTACTATACCTGAACTATTCCTTCCTAGAGTGTACTGTACTAAACCTGAACTATTCTTCCCTAGAGTGTACTGTACTATACATGAACTATTCCTCCCTAGAGTGTACTGTACTATACCTGAACTATTCCACTCTATAGGAGTGTACTGTACTATACCTAAATTATTCCTCCCTATAAGAGTGTACTGTACTATACCTCAACTATTCCTCCCTAGAGTGTACTGTACTATATCTGGACTATTCCTTCCTAGAGTGTACAGTACTATACCTGAATTATTCCTCCCTAGAGTGTACTGTCCTATACCTGAACTATTCCTCCCTAGAGTGGACTGAACTATACCTCAACCATTCCTCCCTAGAGTGTACTGTACTATACCTCAACTATTCCTTCCTAGAGTGTACTGTACTATACCTGAACTATTCCTCCCTAGAGTGTACTGTACTATACCTTGAACTATTCCTACATAGAGTGTACTGAACTATACCTGAACTATTCCTCTCTAGAGTGTACTGTACTATACCTGAACTATTCCTCCCTAGAGTGTACTGTACTATACCTCAACTATTCCTCCCTAGTGTGTACTGTACTATATCTGAACTATTCCTCCCTAGAGTGTACTGAGCTATACCTCAACTATTCCTCCCTGGTGTGTACTATACTGTACTATAATGTACTGTACTGTACTGTACTGTACTGTACTGTACTGTACTGTACTGTACTGTACTGTACCTGAATGGAATTAAGAGAATGGTTGAGTTCCTGCTCCAATAAATTCCTCTGGGTTGAAGTAAAGGTAGAATTCTCTGAAACAAATAGAAAATATCTATCTATCTATCTATCTATCTATATATCTATGTATCTATCTATCTATCTATCTATCTATCTATCTATCTATCTATCTATCTATCTATCTATCTATCTATCTATCTATCTATCTATCTATCTATCTATCTATAATAGAATTCTCTGAAACAAATAGAAAATATCTATCTATCTATCTATCTATCTATATATCTATGTATCTATCTATCAATCTATCTATCTATCTATCTATCTATCTATCTATCTATCTATCTATCTATCTATCTATCTATATATCTATCTATCTATCTATCTATCTATCTATCTATCTATCTATATATATATCTATCTATCTATCTATCTATCTATCTCAGAGTGGAAATAACAGTAGATTTCTGTAGAACAAATAGAATTCAAATTAGTTTAATTAAACCTATAGAGGCCACCTTTCTGTCTATCTATCTTAATATCTATTTATTATATCTATGTATCTAAATTTTTTCCTTTTTGTCTATCTGTTTATATATTTGTCTATCTGTGTGAATATCTGTCTCTCTGCCTAACTGTGTTTTTGTCTATCTGTCCTTTTTAAATAAATCTATCTGTCTTTCTATTTATCTGTCTGTGTGTTAATTTTTCATCTGTCTATTTGTCCATATGTCTATCTATCTTTCTATCTAAATATCTATTTATCTATCTATCTTTAATAAACCAAATTAACTAAGTTCAAAGTGTTAAATCTAATGGTGCCTGTGGCTTAGTTTTGGTTTGAATATTTTCTGCTGCAGAATTCTTTTTAAATTTGACATTTTCTTAGATTTTTATTAATTCACTAGACAGAGGGAGGAGGTCAATTTTATACGACATAACTGGTAGAACTTTGTGACCTCGTAGCTCCTATAGTTTTGATTTTAAACAGGGGTATGAGAGAGGCAAATTCATTTGGTTACTTAAAGCTTTCTTGTTCTTTTAAAGGGACTGTAAGCTCAACTCAATTATGTTTGAAAATCCAGCTTTCTACAAGTCATTGGCAAACCAATGCTACATGTGATTAACAAAAATCATATCATTTATCAAACCAAATAGTTAAGCCTAGGGAAAAATAGGAAGCAAGATCAGCCCGGGTAAAATAAGTGTTCACTATGGTTTATAGGGTTACCCATGCTCAAGTTTTTAAGACAATGGCGCAACACAAAACGTTGGGGTGTCTGACTTTCAACTGATCTTGAGCAAAACAAAATAATAGAAAGACTTTGATAACAATCTGGAAATAGATTTATAGATATTTCGTTTTTATTTGTATGCGTGAGCTTGTGCCCACACCCCTTATCCAAAAATAAATTATTAAAGTTAAAAAGGGACCGTAAGCTCAATTTCAAGTGACCCTTTTATGCAAACAGGGTAATGCCCGATTTACAACGGTACCCTTAAAACCCTTGTGTTCTCCTCGAGTACAGAGATAAGTGTGTGTAAACTTATCGAAACCCCGTTTGTAGGCAGCTTCAAAGTTCAGACTGTACACACTGCAGTCTGTACGCTACGCAATACAAAACAAGCAGGGTTCGATAAGTTTACATAAACATATCTCTGTACTGGACGAACACACAAAGGTTCTAAGGATACCGTTATAAGCCGGGTATTTTCCTCTTTGCATTTAGAGTCACTTAAAATTACGCTCAGAGTCCCTTTAATGGGTCTTAATCAGGGGAGATTGAATAAAAAAAAACTATATTTAACTTTAATGAGTAGATTTTAAAAAATTACAATTATGCTTTTACAGAAATTTTTCAATAACTTTGTCATGTTTTTAAGGAATTAAAAAAATGTGAATATTTGAGTTGTTTACAAACTGACCTGTAAACTGTAGCAAGCTGGTCAAAACATCCCCCTGAGCAGGAACACTTTTCATCACTCTACAATTCTTAGTTATACTTAGTATTTTTTAAGATAATTAGATAGATAGATAGATAGATATGAAATATGTATATCTAGATAAATAAAGATAGATATTTAGATAGATAGATAGATAGATAGATAGATAGATAGATAGATAGATAAATAAAAAGAAAGATAACTGGATAGATAAAAAGTTATTAGTGCAAATCTGCACTAAATTGTTCAAAATAAAACGGTGAAAATATCTCAATACAAAGAATTCAAATTGTTTAATCATACTGCATCAATTTTTGACTTATGTGATGTTAGATATATACTTCCTCAAAAGTTTTTTCACAAGCACACTTCTCTGTCGCTTTGGTAATTGGCGGTTCAGTCCAAAGTAGGACTGCAAAGGTTGGCCCAAATGTACATCGGCGAGGTGTGTAAGGGTATTTTTCCAAGTGGCAACTTCCCAACTTTGCAAATGCCTAGGGGGCAACTTCCCAAGTTTGTCCTAGCCGCAGCGCTAGACGCCCTAGCCTGTTTTAGTTGCAGCATTTTGCACCCTATCCCATGCCGCAGCTGCCTGGCCCAATTGCAGCCTTTGGCAACTTAGAATGCCTAAACTAACCTTTGGAGAGTTCCTGCTTAGGATATTTCACATTCGGGATATTGCCACTTGAGAAATTGTGACTATGGATGTCGCCCTTGGGAAAATGCATAACACTATTCAAAAGGCCCCTTTAATAATTTACTTTTTTTACTTTAAAAAAAAAGAGTATGCTCTAATCACCAATATCGACTCTTTAGAAAAAAAATCACCCCCCCTTCCCTGTTAACTCTGTCTAGGGATATGGGTTAATAAAAAATCTCATATAATTTTTTCATATATTTTTCTTCATCGATTAATTTACAAAATGGCCGACTGCAAATTCTTTATTTGTTAGAAATTGCGGAGGTCTCTCATTGGATAGAATTTATTTACAAGGCTGTCATTTATTTATATTCCTGCACTCTCAATGGAGAACACAATGTAGGGATATCCAAAGAGAGAGAAAAAGAGTGGATTAAGGACTAAAATTAAAAGTTTCCACAGTGGATATTCGGATTAAGTAGTCAGGATTAAAGGTTATCCATTCAAAAGTTCCCAGCTCTGATTAATGGTATTTATGTAGTTGAAATTACGAAATTGCAGTTCTTTTAATGTCTAAATAATATGTAATGATCTTTATTTAGAAATACTTTTTATGGTTTGGGAACAAAAATGTTATAAATTAAAGTTTATTTCGCACCCAAAAAGTGGTACAATAAATTAAGACAAAGCCATAATTTAAACGAGGAACATGTGTAGATATAGAATATCACTTGTTAGTCAGGACATAAAAAAAAAACAAATTTTATCATTAAGTTCAAGATAATTAAAATCCTAACAGAAAAATTGTCTGATCTTAGATCTAGCAGTTCATAATTTTTGGACATATTATAATCGTCTGCATTTGTATTCAGATTTTTACATAAAACTGTTAATTGATCATTTTAAAACAAACTATAAAGTAAACGAATGCTTGACTCATCTGTACTATTCATTTTTTCAAAATAGGCAACAAATGTGTTCGCTAATAAGGTTTTTATGTGCAAGCATGAAGAAATAGGCTCAATAAGGCATCTATAAGTATTTCTGGAAACATTAAATAAAATTCGAATGGAAACATTCCATGAATTATATAATTTAAAAAAAATTGCTACTGTAAAAGTCACAGCTCAGCAAAGTAAAATTCTTGTTCTAAATAATGAAGTTTAGAAATGAACTTTAAAATTACAGTCATTGGTTTCTAAAATCAATAGGAAGGCGACTTTACGACTCAAGTTATTCAAATAGTTCAATAAACAGCGTTACCACAAACCCATTTTACTTAATAATTGTTTTTTTAAAGTTAATGGTAAAACTATTTGATCTGTAACAACATCAAATACACCTAAATATTGCTTTTATCTCGTCTTCCTATTCCACAGTTTTCTGGTTCTCACTGTAGAACAGCTAAAATATATTTTTACCTAGATTTGTGCACTAATTCAGAAAAAGGAATCCATTTTCATATAAAAGAGTATAGAAATCTGAAAGTATACAAAATCACACTTTAAACTAAAGTAACTAAAGTAAACTGAAGTACGTAACATTGAACTCTTATATTATTCTTCTCTTACTAAATAGCTATTAATAAAAACCAAAATGTTTTTAATTTAAAATATGTAAAAAAAATTTTTCACACTGGAGCACCAACAGAGACAGAAAGTCGTATCAGTAAATTGATTTTGACCTTATCCTCCTGGTTAGTTAGCAGTGATTAGGAAAATATTTTTAATTTAATTAAAAAGATAAAGATATATATTTAAAAAGTATTCAGGGAATTTATTAAAAACCCTTTTTTTATGTTTTTTTTTTACCTTGAAATGAAATTTAAATGAAATTTTGGGTATTTTGTTTTAAAGGACTTTTGAAATTAAAATGTTTTGGGTGTATGGGAGTTTTGCTTTTAGCTGCTTTGATACCGACTCCTTTTCTCAACTTAACATTTTTAATTGATAATGATTAACAACCAACACAATTAGTTAATTCATTAAGTCTCTTGAGCATAAATGTTAAGACATGAAAATAGGTTTAAGTCCCCAGAAATCATAATTATGTCCATTTTTTTTTATAAATCATTACTTTTTTAGAGGGGGGACGGGGGGGGCGTGTCTCTTATGGTATGTCACGGCTGAAGTACGTAGCTCATATAACAATTGCCCATATTATATATTTTTAAGTTTATACTATACATACATTTTTATTAATTAATGAGTCAATTTGTCAAATGAATAATGTGAATAATAATAATATATTATTCTGTATATGGTTCGGGGTGAGCCGGAAATTTAAAAGAGTATTGTTTTTACATGAAGAAAATAGAAAATAAAAAGAGAATATGCAAATAGCCATGGAAATAATATTTCTTACCAAAATTGTTTTATATCTACAAAATTGCCTAATTCCACGATCGTTAACCCCGGTCTCCGACACTGGGTTTAATAACGATACCCTGCTCTTAAGTTTGGGGCTCAGGGAAAGGAAACGCTAATTAAACTTTACAAAAAGCTGATAAAACGCAAGAAACTATATAAAAACGCTAACTTAAAAAGGCTAAATGTAGCGCTAAGAAACGCTAATAGTTTGATAGAATGTTTATTGAAACTTTAGGAAATGCTAGAAAAATCACCAATTGTAAAACGACGATATCTTCCTCATTGTTACTCAGATAAAGGTTTAAAGGGGTTCGTTGTGAATCGGATTTGCCATTCTGCAAGTTAAGCTCATCTGAAATGACAACAACGATCATTTTAAAACAGAAGATTACTTTGAAAAAGTTAAGAGTACATTAAAATTCACCGTTTTCATGCATTAGTTGATCAAATAAATTCTTTTAAAAATTGCACAGGAAACATGAGATGGAATATGAAGAACTTCAGATAGAAAGGACCGGAAGTGAAGACCGGAAGTGATGAAGATAAAGGAATAAATAGAAGGTCAAGTCTTCAAGGGGAGTAAAAAGGGGGATTTAAAAAAAATCCTAACTTTTTCATCAGAATTCGCAAAACTATTACAAAATCTACGGCTATCCTTCTTTATTGAAAGGATGGAGATTGGAGAGGAAATGAAAATGTTTGTAAAACTGTAAATTTGAAATGTTTAGTCCGCAGTAAAGTTTGTTGTAAACGGTAAAATATCTAAATAACGTCAAATCATAAATCTTCCAGGGTAACAAGACCAAGGAGAGGGGGACAGGGAGTGTTTACACATTTTACTGCGATATGTCAGAACAGCTCAGGAACATGTTAAATCAAACAATTACAAATATTTTAAACCAAGGTCGGAATGTTTCTGACCAAAGTAGGAAGACCGGGCCTGATTTTTAATATTAAATAACGGCAATATTTCTTAATTGTCCAACTTCAAGTTGGATAAAAATAAATTTTATTCATTTTGATTTTTTTGCGTGTTTTTAAGTGTTGTCTTCATTTTTTTCCAACTATTTTTACAATTGCACAAGTAATAGAAGGCTGGAAACGTCATGTATGTTTGTCTGTACCAAAAGAGCGGGTGTAAGTGATAACGAACCGAAGGCATGTACTGTAGGTAAATACAGTACATAAGAATCTCGGTATTTGTACAGTCTAGGAGAGTACATTTGTTTATTGTTAATTGTTTACTTAAAAATAAGTTTAATATACATGTAATATATCAACACTCTAAGTCAAATTTTCATTCAAAGAATATAATTTGATTAAAGTTTACAATAAACTTCTCGTTATTTAAGCTTAATTATAATTGACGACATTGTTCTGCAATTTCCTTGACTGTAGTCATGTTGTGTGTCTGTACCAAAAGCTAGAGTGTGCGTGTGTGATAACGGACTTGTCTGCAAAGCACTGCGACTGGCTTTCTCATACCAGACCAGCGCCATTTCCCTTCTTTTTATTCTTATTCCCTGACTGGTAACGATTAGTTAATCATGGAGATATATATATTTAAACATTTATTCAGAACTTTTAAAAAGATTTGTTCAATTATGAGAAAAGTATTAATGATCATTATTGAAATTCAGAACTTAATTAAGGTTTCAAATTATATCTCACTTATATAAGATTAATCATTTAAATGTTTCCGAAAAAAATTTAAAGTTTTGTTAAAATGTAATCCAATGTGATCCAAAAAATGATAAATTAAACTTCAGTGTGTGTTAAACAGGATGAAAATGTTCTTTTTTCTGATGCTTTGCTTTCTTGCAAACACAGAGGGAAATTCGTATCTTACACCAAAAGNAGAACAATGAAGTGTATGACAATGATTATATTTAGAATGAGAACAATGAAGTGTATGACAATGATTATATTTAGAATGAGAACAATGAAGTGTATGACAATAATTATATTTAGAATGAGAACAATAAAGTGTATGACAATGATTATATTGAGAATGAGAACAATGAAGAGCATGACAATGATTATACGAATAATTATAATGCTGGTGTACCACCTGGTTCACCTGGAATTAATCAGGTAATGCCATTTCAAAAATTGAAAACATTCTTGATGAAGAATATTTTTCAATATTATGTTTAACAGGTAGAATTTACCAGAAGAAATGCTAGAAAAGAAGCATTAATCGCTAGAAAAGCGGAAAAAATCGCTACAAGAAATGCTAAAAAAGCTGAAAGAATCGCTAAAAGAAATGCCAAGAAATCTCAAAGAATCGCTGGAATAAATGCTAGAAATGCTGAAAAAATCGCTAGAAGAAATGCTGGAATTGCTAAAAGAAATGTTAAAGCGGCTGCAAGAATTGCTAAAAGAAACGCTAGAAATGCAGAACAAAATTCAAGAAAAGCTAGAAAAACCTTCGAAAGAAATGTTAGAAATGATTTACAAACCGCCAAAAGAAATGCCAAGGATGCTAAAAGAATTGCCAAGAGAAACGCTAGAAATGCTAATGATGCTAGAAGAATTGCTTAAAGAAACGCTTGAAACGGTGATAGAGCTGAAAGAAAAAACGTTTGAGAACGGTTTACTTAAAAATTTGCAATTGGATTTTGGAGATTGAATGAAACAAGTTGTTATACGATAAATAAATTCTTAAACAGTTGTTGATAAATAAATAGATATATAAATATTAAATAGATATATAAAAAGATCGACAGTGGCGTACGATTGGGGCCTTGGGTGCACGTGCCCCCCTGGGGTGGGGGGCACGTGAGAGCACACGCATAGGGAGCCTCACATATAAAATGATTTTATATAATGTGGGGAAAAAATGAAAAATGTGATATTAAAAGGCAACTTTATTCATATTTTTTTAATTTTTTTTAAACAAAAATTAAGCAAGTTAAAACACTGAAAATTTGAATAACGCTCAAACAAACATAACTTCTGTGAACAAATATTTTTGGTAATCAAGGAAAGAGAAGAAAAATTTGACATTAAAAGGCAAATTTTTTCAACCTTTTAAATTCTTTTCTCCTAAGATTTGTTTGATATTCCGCGCAAACAAACCTGTAGGAAAAAATTATTTTCAATGAACTGGAGAAAAAAACTTTATATGAAAAAGACATGTTTAATTTCTGGGGGGAAAATTAATTTTGAAATAAGGAATACATTTTTCAAGAAAGGAAATAAGTTTTCGCCACAAACTCAAATTTTCTAATCCCTAATTCTTTGAAACCTGATGGTTTAAACCATTGTTCAGACTAAGGCTTTTTTGAAATATCAAGGATCTACGACATCTGAGGCCGAATTTAAAGAATTTGAGCCGCGGCTTAAATCCGCCAAAACCCGGTTTTAATTCAGCGCCGGCTTAAATCTTGAAACATTTAATACAATTTTAAGTAGAACCCACCATATTTAAGCCGCGGCTTAAATTTAAGCCGCCGCTCGAATTCTTTTAATTCGGCCTCGGGTTGCACAGATAGGGATTATAAGTTTGGAGTTTTTGTCAAAATTTATTTCCTTACAACTCTGATATATAATAAACACATGTATGTTCTAAACCAAGCAAAGCCTTTAAGTATAAAAGGTTCTTTTTATGTAGATGAAAAACTAATCAGAACTTTGGTCAAAATAGGTTTTTTTTTAAGGGGGGGGGGCACAAAACCTTCCAGGTGTACACAAAAAAATTATGCCGCGCTAACTCGCATACGCCGCTGTAGATAGATAGATAGATAGATAGATAGATAGATAGATAGATAGATAGATAGATAGATGTGTATGTCAACTGCTTGTCAAATTCAGGCCACATCCTGTGAAATCATTTATATTTTAGACTGAGAATTAGGAATTAGGAATTAGAGAAATACAAAATCTCTACATTTTTCCATCTTCATCCAATCCTAAGTTCCGAGAATCTAATGTACCCAATTATCCTTTTCTTAAAAAGGGTAGCTCTGTCAGCCAGTGGCTGAACAGAAGGATCATATAGGTCTGTAGAATTTTGGGTGTTTCGTGATTTTCATATTTATTTTTTATAACATTTTATAGGAAAAATTTCGCAGATTATTTAGTTTTCATGGTCGAATTTTAGAATTTTAAATAACCCACTGTATATTATAAGCAGTTTTAAAGCATATTGTTACTGTAAATATATATGATCGATATTGACAAGCAAGTGATCGAATTTTTTTTATGCTATATGGTAGCGTGTTTCCATTTTTGAATAACTTTTTACAGTCTGGTACAACTAAAGTCGGCCTTGCTTCTTGCATTGTGTTGTTAAGCCATATCTCCCCCTTCAGCTCTTATTAAAGATGTACTCTACAGGCGGATATATGCTTATTTTTTAGTTAAAAATTGATCGCCGTGAGTGGTGTGTACACAACGTGCTACTTCACTTTTTTACTTCAAATTTAGGCAAAGTATCAAAGGGAACCGAATCAGACATGTTTATAGTCAAATCATGTACAGTACGGTCACTTGAAACTATGCCTACAGTCCCTTTCAGTAATACAAAGTTTGAAATACAATCCTAACTTTTCTTTTAAAACTAGATTTTTCTAATTTAGGAACAGGTTAATTTTAAACGTATACATGACAAGACTCAAAGATGAATCTAGGAATAGAGATGGATATCATTTCTGTCAACGTACGAACATTTTTCTAAATTTCGTCATTCAGAAAACTAAAGAGCGATTTATTTAGATCTAAAAATGCCCCTCCCAGGGTCTCCCTTTCATCCCTTCCCCCCGGTGTCCCCCTCCCTTCCCAGCAACGCCATTGGTATTATCTCTAATCTTTACTTGACTAGTTCATTAGGGTTTGTCGAACTTATTTCCTATTATATATGTTTATATCGTTTGTCTTGTTTTGTCTCCGATGTAATAAGGTATTCTATACCTTTTGCTTTTAATAAATAAATAAAAAATTAAATGATAGGAAAACATTCGATATTGTTGATTGACGGGACTGTACGTGTAATTTCAAGTTACCCCTCAATCAGAAATTCACAACGGTTCCAATTGTTTACATTTATCACTAAGCAAAATGCAGGAAATTATGTTTCTAGCAGATTTTTGTTCAGATGAACCAAATAGACAAGGTTGGATATTAAGGTTGGTTGTACGGAAAATGTCGCAAAGAGAGATACAAGCCTAGTTATTAAAATGTTTCAGACATTCAGAAAAAACCTATAAAACGATATTATCATGATCTGATATCCCCCTCCGGTTTATCCCTGGAGGCTGATGATTGATTTAAAGTTTTTATATTTTGTTTAGATAATACGTTCATTTCTACTCTTAGCAGTGTTTTCAAATATTTACACGATATGTTGGAATATTTGGGAAAAAGTTTAAATTTTGTATTCAAAATTTTTAAAATATTTAGCGTTTTTTCTTAACTTATAAAAGTATCAGATTTAAATGCTTTTTTACTACAATCCTTATGTGTATGCTAAGATTTTTTTCTGTTTCATTATTGTTAAGTAAATTTCTTTATTTCTGTAATAAACCTTTCATGGGGTTACAACAAAAATCGGTGAAGCCATTTCGACGTTTAATGGATAAAAATAAAAATAAAACTTTTAAACTTCTTAAAGGATATACATTCACAATTTTTAAATACAGTGATAACCAGAAAATTATGGAATAGGAAGACAACATATTGCAATACTTAAGTGTATTTGATGTTGTTACAACGCAAATAGTTTTACTAGACACTCATTAAATCACTAATTTAGTGAAATTGATCTGTTTACACTGCACAACTCAGATTTGTCTCATGCTCATTGGACTCTTTATAGTTATAATTTAATTCTAAAAGTCATTTTCCTATTTCAGAGTTTTCTGGTTATCACTGTACCATTTAAAAGATTCTGAACATCCCAATAAGAAATTCAACTTTATTGGAATCAAAACTAATTTGAAAGGAAAGTTTAAAAGTTTAGAACATTCAGTAAGTTAAATCTAAATGCATTCCAAAACTAAACCAGATTCTTAAAATTTAAAGTTTTGATAAAATATTTGCAGGAATTTTTAAGTTTTTTTTGCAGGGAAGAGAAAAATTTATTTCCTTAAAATAAATCTTAGCTGACGGGGGTTGGGTAAATAATATATATTTATATATAACTTTAGGAAGATAAATAGAGGCAGAAAAAAAGAAAAATTTAGAGCTCTACACCAAGACAGATAGAATGATAGATAAATATATAGATAGATAGAGATATATCTATATAGATAGATAGATAGACAGATGTATAGACAGATAAATAGACAGGTATAAAGATAGATATATAGATAGATAGATAGGTAGGTAGATAGATAGATACATAGGTAGATATAGATAGATAGATACATAGATATATTGATAGATATATATATAAATATAAATAAATAAATAGATAGAAAAATAGATATATAGATAGATAGTATGCAGGATGCATAAATGAATGAATGAATGAAGGAAAATTGAAATGTGTGAATCCGAAAAATATTCATAGAAAAATTCACAAAATTTTGTCAATATCAAATTCTAATTGCATTCACATCCGAAATCTTATGATTGGAGATTTTTAATATTGTGTTAGGAAAATTTAGTTTTAAACTATCTGTGGAAGTGTTTGTTTCAAATTTTTAAATATTTTGTTGTTTTAACGTTAGACAAGCTAATGTTTGAAAAATATGTCCACACAGGACTAGACTAAGATTTGTTAAAGAGACTGTAAACGTATTTTAAAGTGACTCTCAACTTATCTTTCTCAATAAAAACATTATTTTTGATCAATTTTGGTTTCTCTAATAAGGTGACTTACGGATTTATTGCAACAGAAACAATGAAGGAAATTGTTAGAAGCTAGAAAACAGACAATATATATTGCACATTATTGAAAAGGGCACCCTTGTGAATCGGAAGATGACCCTCTTTAATCAGGAGTCACTAATAATTACAAAGACAGTCCTTTTAAGATTAAGGAAAAAGGTAAAATCTATGAAACATGTCTGTTACAACGTTGCTCCTATGGTTTTGATTTAATGCAAAAGTATAAGACGACCAAATGTATTTGGAAGCGTAAAAAAATTTAAAACATTCTTTTTATGATAGCTCTTTAATAATAGGAGTTATGAATAATAATATTTAAGATTGCCAAATAACCCAATGAGGAATCTACTAAAATGTTACATGCTGTCCTTAGTCTTTATCTTATATAATGTTCCCACCCCTAGTCTATATCTTATAATGTTCCCACCCCTAGTCTATATCTTATATAATGTTCCCACCACTAGTCTATATCTTATATAATGTTCCCACCCCTAGTATATATCTTAAATGATGTTCCCACCCCTAGTCTATATCTTATATAATGTTCCCACCCCTAGTATATATCTTATATAATGTTCCCACCCCTAGTCTATATCTTATTTAATGTTCCCACCCCTAGTCTATATCTTATATAATGTTCCCACCCCTAGTCTATATCTTATATAATGAATTCACACATTTTTAGAATTCCACAGCTTGTCAATGTTTATTTGTGTCCTCAACACATATTCAGACTTTCAAGCAGAGAAAAAAATGTTTTTTTGAAAAACTGTTCTATATTAGTCATTTCTTTTAGTGCATTTGGGGGGGGGGTCTTCATTACGTAAAGCTTCAAATTCAAAACAATGTTTAA